CTCAGGAGAAGTAGCTTTCAGCAGGTACCTTTAAAGGGGGTTATGGGGATTATACAGGGGTTATATAGGATTTAGGGTTCAGGGTTTAGGGTTTCCGAAAATTAGGGGGACCTTTTCAGGGGTGCCCATAATCAAGATTATAGTATTTGAGGGTCTGCATTGGGGTACCCCTGTCTAGGGAAACTACCTTTCTGGGTTGAAATGGTGAACCTAGGGACACGTAGGGACACATAATGTGTATATATATATGTACACAACTAGATATGCACATATATGTAGATATATATGTTTTGTGTTTTTTTAGATATGTATATGGGGATATATCGCATTGAGAAGGCGGTTACTGTGTATATGGGGATTAGCGATTAGTAAGGGTATCTGAAAGTTTTGTTGGCCAAGTCCCTGTAATTCGGGACCTTCTTTCGAAAATATCAGACAAGAGGGACTCTTGTTTCGAAAAATTAGGGGCACTTTGGGATTACTTATACCAACGATTGTCGTATGTGGTCTCTTATCGGGGTTAAATGCAAAACAACCTAGGAAGAGAAACCCCAAATTATGGCGAGACAATATCCTATGATTTCTTATAACTATCATTGTAAGTGAAAATAGTGTTTGGCAACATGCTGACCTAGCCCCTAAGCCCTATATCCCTACATCACCACATCATTACAGTTTCCATTTCATTTTCCAAATTCTCTTCTTGTTGATTCTCCATTATACTACCCCCCCCCCCAAACCCTAAACGCTACACCCTAAATATTACCTCACCCCATAGCTAGGTGGTGGGACCTCGAGCAACCACAAGCTCACTGGGCGCGGATGTGAACTGCACCCCAGCAACTCGGGATCTCAGAGAAAGTCTTCCAAGCCCGTAAGAGATACCCATGAAGACACAACCTCCCGAAATACATCCATTGCTGGGGTTGATGGTTTAGGGTTAGCCTTTGCTTTCCGGACACTAACAGATGTTTTATAGACATGGTTTTGGGATCCTTTTGGAGCCTGGGGCCCTAAGCCCTTGACTCTCAATTCTAAACTGCTGGCCAGGCGTGCGACAGGCACGAGCGCGCGATGTCGCAAAAGAAGCATGCTTTGCTGCACCAAGGATGATTGGCAGAGGCCAGCGGACATCCCCACAGCAACAGCTCCCTTCACACGCGTCTTCCTTCGTATCGGTCGAACACTGTTGCTCGGAGCCTTGCCAGAAGATAGAAGTATGTCATGTCTAGCAGCATGCAGCATGAGCTAGTAGGCTGTCCCTACTCTTCCACAGCTTGGACATGAGGGTAGGGTGTGTCCCGAGGAAAATTTTACGCCTTTCAGATCAATGTGACGAACGTTGTGGAGTGGAACATCAGTCAGCACGCGCAGTGGCGACTCTGGTTGCAGAGTCCAGAGGGCTACATGGTGGACGGCTCGACGCAGCTTGCCGTGCATTCAATCTTGAATCGCTTTCAACACAAGATTTAGTGCTCAGAATATTCTTCTTTTTTGTGAATTTGTATTCTTATTATTCCATTGTTAATTGTCATCTTTATTTTCATTTTGACAATATTTTTCAAGATGATTAGTAGCCTATGCTCGCTTGCTCCCAGGTATCCCGTGCAGTTCAATGCAGCGCGAATTGACACGCTGCCTGTGTTTCCTCATGACCAGGGCTGGGCAGTATATGATTCTGAGCTGAAGTTGCCCCTTGCGCTCAACTTTAGAGCGCTGGAATATGGAGCTGCTCGCTCCTCGACTTGCACCGAAGACCCCCTGTCACCAAACCCTACTGATCGTACTTTGGCTAGGCTGCCAGCCGTAAGTAGCTGGGGCAGCCTTACTGCCTTCTCAGATGCCCGCTCTATACAACCCCAAGCGCCCATGTTATTTTCCATTTGCTTGTCCCTTTGAGTGAGTTTCCATTCACCTGTGTGCTGATGGTTTTGCAGCTGCATGCTGCGCGACCAGGACTTTTGCCCACCGCCGCCTTCGATATGAGCGCCTTCTTGACTGTGTACCCGCTAACACCATCCTCTGATGGGCAGCCTATACACGTTCGCGTTACTTGCCGATGGCTAGTAGGGAATGAAGGAATAGGTTGTTTTGACTAAACCCTAGACCCCTAGACTTAGACCCCAAATCCAGAACTAGACTAGCTGTTGACATTTTCTTTACCATTCCCTCCTACCCTAAATATCAGGTTTCTTTCTCCAAAACCCTAAACCCTAAATCCTAAACCGCGAGAGCGGATTAAAGGGGCGCTTAAAAAAAACCGTACTACCCACCAGCAAGGTGATCGCCCCTGTGGGATATGTCTGGATCCCGCACGCAGAGCAAGGATGGCAGGGCTATGTACCCAACGTCACGTGCCGCTTCTGGGTTGCTGTTAAGGAATTTAAATTAAGGGATTAGGGTTTGGGGTTTAGGGTTTAGGGTTACCATAATGGGTATATATTGTAAATAATATGGTTTCCCCAATATAGTAACTTGAATTACAGTAAGTCCCTTAACAGCAACCCAGGCTTCTGCAATCTCTATGTTACCCCGGAGGCGCGCATAGGAGTTTATCAAAACAATCCCACAATGTTAGCCCTAACAGGCCCCAATAATTCTGGGACCCTAAATCTTAAGAACCCCCCATATTGGGTCCTGTCCCTTGGGGTCTTCGGGGCTTGCCAGATTGCGGACGTGGTTTCTCGGGCTCCAGTCTAAACCTTCAAACTTCAAGCTTACTGTGCGATGAAGGGGGGCAAGCGACGCTAAACCCTGCAAATCTGGTTTTAGCTAGGTGGGAGGTGAGAGGGGCTATCCCAGGCAACCCTAAGCCCTATACACCCAAACCTCTAGACCTTATAGTCCCCCTTACGTAGATAGAATATCGGGTATATGGGGATCTTATTGTAATATCCCGAAGCCATATTCTATCTACTTAAGGGGGACTGTAAACCCTAAACCCTGAAGGTGAGGTATGAGAATGAGCTCCTCCTACCAGACCTCATCATGCGACTGGACCAGAGCTTCGGCTTCGTGGTACGCCTCCGCCTGCCTTTGCGACCGCCCACCAGGTCCAGCAACTCCTTTTTCCTGGAGACACTTGTCTGTGTATAACCCCAATATATACCCAATATATCCCAATATAATATAGTGGTTTCCATGTTCTTTTCCATTATCCCTATATAACCCCTTTATATACCCTATATGATATAGCAGTTTCCGTTTTCCCTTCCATTATCCTTGTATAATCCCAACATACTATAGAAGTCTCCGTTTTGGGGTTTGGGTTCAGGGTTGGTTGTTTCCTTCGAGGGTCTCGGCGTGGAGGCTTCTTCCACTTTGTATGCTTGGCGGAGTCAGCATGTTGAGGTCATACAGGGATAATGGAAGAGAAAATGGAAACTAATATATCATATAGGGTATATATTCCTGAGTTACAATAAGGTCTGGAAGTCAAGGTTCAGGACTTGGATGTATTCTTGTGGGATGAGTCGGAACAGAGGGGATGGGAGGGGGGGGGAGGGGAAAGTCTATCTACCAAGATGATACTGCATGGAATCCGCACGCCTTCAGCAAGCTTCCCTGGAATTGGAATCCTTTCATAGCATCTGAGCTGTAGTCTAAACTCTTGAAAGGGATGGGGTTTATATAGGGGATAATGTAGGGGAGTATTACGGGGGCTATTAAGGGGGGATACTGGGAGTTTAGACTATATAGCTCATAAACCCCCATGTGCCTCTTTGAGTTGAGGGTGGTGGAGCTGGGGAGAAGAGATAACAAACATCAATGCGCACTGACCCAACATTATCCGTACGCCATCCAATCACAGTTTTTGCATGAATCCATCCACCCCAAACCTCAAGACCTGGGCAAACACGAGAGTGAACGTCGACCAAAACAACGCAAGCCCAAACCACTGATCCCGTAAACGCTAAAATCCTAAGCCCTATGCGATCCAAAAACTGTAGGGTTGGATATAATCCTGCTGGCTTCAATCTGGATCGAATGCAAGCCGCCGCCTTCCCAGCGCCACCGATACGAGTGGTCAATGACGTGAGCATTGCACCTTTTTGAAGTTTGGGGCTTAAGGTCTAGGGTATTTTAGGGTGTGAAGTAACACTGTGTTTGTCGTGAATACTTCAGCCCAAGATGGATGTTCGACATTGTTTCATCATACCTCATCAAGAACTGAGGCATCTTTATGTAACATGGCTGGCTTTGCACACAATGTCGTTGACTTCAGCATTCGGACCGCATCACCATTTTCCGACGCTTGACTGCATAACTGGAGCTTTATGTGCGGCATTTGCGATGAATAGATTCTTCTTGTCATCATTTCAGCAGTAGAACCCCCCTGATGTAGCCCGCCAAGACGGTAATTTGTCCCAAAAAAGGCCAGCCAAGAGTGACCCACAGTTCGCGGCGCAGGTAAATGATGGCTTCTTATTTGCGGGCGATGAGCTCACCCGTGGGGCTGTGCTGGGATGCTGGCCAGAGGTACGCTACGGGCTCTGAGGCTTTAGTGTTTATGCAGAGGTTTCCAAGCATTGGGCGTCTCCCTACAAGGACTAAAATCTTGGAGTACTTAAGGGGGATCCCCATTTTGAGAACACCCAGGCATGGATTTATGCCTCAGCAAGACGCCCTTACAAGAAATGATGATAGTAGCCTTTGTAGTGGGTTTTCCTGAGGGCTACACAGGGAAACCCCCTCTGCTGGTCCATTGTTTCGCAAACCCTAAACCTTAAACCCAAAAATGCCCGCGAGGTCTTGCCAGGGATGCTGGGCATGACTTCACAAAACGCAGACTGCTGCTTGGTTGTCAAACTTAAACTGAGTTACCACGCGATTAGTAGATAATAGGGTTTCCGGATCAAAGTATCTTAAGTTGGGTTCCCAAACAGCAACCCAGTTGGTTGTCAGAACTGCTAGGCGCAGCATACGCTTAAGTTGGCTGATTTGCGGGTTGAGGCAATGTTGTCACGTTGGGGGACTGCATATGAGCCATAGTCTAAACTCCTGAAAGTGTTCCACAGAGGACTATATAGGGGAGTATTATAGGGGTTGCTAGTGGGTATGTTAGGAGACTATAGCTCAGATGAGGGCTTGTGTTTGATGGTACAAAACAGTGAGCCTCATTCTCAGAAGTAGCAATTTTGCGGCTAAGGCCTTGTGTTTGAGCATGAGATCAGCCTCTTACCCATGGTCAAGCTTTGGCTACTGGAAGGGCAGCTACCAGCAGGAGCATACGGCTTTCGGTTTAGGCGCTCGGGTCATGTTGTGTTGAGTGCGTCGGGGACACGGGCTGGGACCCATGGTAATACTGTTGCAGGCGTGCTGGTAACCCTGCGAAGCCAGCCAGTGAGATGGCGTACTGGAACGTGGCGACTTTCAGTGGCTTGTCCTGCCATAAGGCCAGTGTGCGTCAGGTTGGAAAAATGAGACGTAGCAAGGTGCCCTGGACGTCTACCCCAAGCACCAGATTCTGGATGTTGGCGTTGACACACCCAGCCCACAGATCCTGGGATTCTTGCCGGAGGCGCGGATGCTTTTGTCATTTGGTCTGTTGCTGCTGCACACTCACATGCGACCAGGCAGTGTCAAGGCACGAAGGAGACATGCGCAAATGCCTGCACATGTTCGACTAATGGGTGCTTATATGCTTATTACCCTAAACCTTAAACCCCAAACCCAGTATGCAGCAGCTCTGCCCAGATTTGCATCCATAAGGGCTTAGATCTCCCACCAGGCAGGCTTGCTTCAACCCCTTGCCTATGAAGCGCCTTCCTTCGGACGAAATGATCAGCCCTTGAGCGTGAACGTTCTCACCTTCTACTTTTGCACCTGGACCTTCAGGCATTGCACACCCTTTCTACTACAGTAGTTTCCATTGTCTTTTCCATTGTCCCAATATAACGCCAGTATTACCCCCATATATCCCTATTATAAAAAAGTAGTTTCCATTTTCCATTATCCCCATAAAGCCCCAATATATACCCTATATTGGGTGCTGCCCCCCCCCCCCNNCCCCGTCAGTAACAGTTGGATAATACTTATAATATGGCTATATATAGCCCTAAATAGGACCCCTAATATAGACTGTTACTGGGTGGGGGGGAGGTACCCAAACCCTATGTACCATAGTAGCAGTTTGGGATTTAGGAGCTTAAGCCGAAGGGTTGCCGAATGAATGGATTTTTCATGCAGAGTATCATGCTAAGATGTGAGCCATGATCTAAACTCCTTAAAGGGGATTATATAGGGATTACATAGGGGACTACTATAGGGGTTGTTAAGGGGGATACTAGGAGTTTAGACTATGGCTTAAATGAGGAGTCTCTTTCAATCGGTTTTGTTACATCTAAGGCATCGACAAGGCACCAGTGTATCCGGTAAGCGTAGAGACTTTCCCGCTGGCATTGCGGGGGCCTGCTGGCTTCGAGTTTTTGGAGGAGACTGGACGACCCGACTTGGAGAGCTATAGTGCTTCTTGCGTTTTGGTCTTAGCCCTAAACCCTAAACCCTAAACCCTAAAGCCCTAATTAGGGTCATGAGAAATGAAGCTGTTTCTGTCGTGATTGCCGTGGTTAATTCCCTCACCCTAAAGTCCCAAGTTCTTCCCTAAGAGCAAGCATTCCAGCACAGTACCATGGAGGAAATTGGAGTGGCGCGGGGGATTGTTTGTCAGGAGGAAATGTTACTTGCATGAGAATTCGTAGATTCCACAAATAGGGGGACCCCGATATAAACCCAAACTACTAAAAAGAAGGGGCACCCTTATTTTGAGAAACTTCCAGTTTTGGAGGGGATTATCATAGGGCTGTTTAAGGGGGATACTAGGAGTTCAGACTAATTAGAATTTTCGCGTTGCTCACTTGTAGTGTGCAGGGGCCTACGTGAAAGTGTTTCTAAGTGCGCCTGCCAGTGGCCGTATTTTGGCATTATATGGAATGATGGAACTGGCAAGTACGTAGAACATGGAAACCGTTGTATAATTTTTAGTGGTTTGGGGCAGGGAAAGAAGGAATACAAAGGAATATTAAGAATAGTACATCATGTTGGATCTAGATTTTAGATACAGGGTTTACATAGGGTAGCAGCGGACGGGAATGGACACCGCTATAAGTTGGAGATTGCAAGGGGGCTACTATGGGGATCTACGGCATTCCCTATTTCCTATTGACAAGCACTATGTATCGTCATGACTTGCACTTCTGCCATCGTTGTCATGGTTGGAGGATTGCTCTGGCGGATTGAGAAGCATAGTGATGTCGGAAGATGAGACCATGGAAGAGACAAGGCGGGTACCTTAACGGCTCCTCTTGCGACACTTGCTACGGCCCCTCAACCCTAAACCCTAAACCCACAGCCCAGGCCTGTGAGACCCACCCTACAGCCGTATACCCCAAAGTGCAATC